CAATGCTCTTAACCACTGAGCCAGCTCTCCAGACCAATACATACTTGTAGTAATCTTAACACTTGGTAAATGAAGGCAGTAAGATCAGAAGGTCAAGGTCATAGTGAGTTTGAGGCCAGCCTGGGCTACATGAGACCCAGTTTCAACAAAACAAGCCAGGTATGGTGACCCATGGCTGCAGTTCCAGCACTCAGGAGGCAGAGGCTGGAGGAGCAGCATAAGTTTAAGTCCAGCCTGGGCTACATAGTAAGGTCTATAGTGAGACCCTATCTTGAAGACAAAAAATTTCAATATGTATTGCTCAAAGTGGGAAGCTAGGCATGGTGGCATGTGCCTGTAATTTCAACACTTGGGAGGTGGAGGCAGGAAGATCAGTTCAAAGTCATTTTTGGTTTCCTAGGCCAACCTGGGCTATGTGAAACCCTGCCCCCCAAAAGAAGGGATTATTTTTTTTTTTTGGTCTTTTTGAAGCAGGGTCTCCTTATAGCCCCAGCTGTCCTGGAACTCACTATGTAGACCAGGCTGGCCTTGAACTCACAGAGATCCGCCTGCCTCTGCTTCCCAAGTGCCAGGACTACAAGTGTGCACCACCACACCCAGCTCAAGAAGGGATTTTTATAAAGACCTGGGGACAGAATCCCCACATTGCAGTAGCCATACTCATAGTGACACCCAGAAGAACTGGAAGCAGGACTCGGCCACAGCAAAGCTGGTTTCTTAGGCTTTTGTTTTTTTCTTTCGATGTGATAAAATACCCTAACTAGAGCAGCTTAAGGTAAAAAGGGTTTGTTTGGCTCACAGGTCCAGATGCATCATGACAGGGATGTCACAGCAGCCGGAGCTTGAAGGGGCAGGTCACATGCCCACTGTCAGACGAGAGCAACAGATGTTGCATGTATGCTGGTGCTCAGCTCATTTTCTCTACTCACAGTCCAGAATCTCCTGCCTAGGGAATGGAGCCACCCACAGTGGGTATCTTCCCACCTCAGCCTACTCACGATCATCTCCCATAGGCAAGTTCAGAAGTCAATCTCCCAGGGGATTCTAGGTTTTGTCAAGTCGACAATTAACACTAACCATCACAGCTGGTCAGAACGTGCAACGTGGAACAACCGAAATGTCCAAGGAGGGTGGGTAGATAAACAATGTGAAACACTCTTCAGTCATGAAGAGGATGTAGTGCCACTGTGTGAATGGACCGGAAGGGGTAATTTTATGATTTTTCTTGTGTGAGGCATCTAACCAAAGGCAGCTGGTTTGTGGTTGCCTGGGGCCAGGAGGTGGGTGGCAAAGCTCATAGGGACCAGGTTTATTTTGAGCTTTCATAAGGGTCTTTAGCCATTCTAAATGTATGCCCCCATTTTTTTTCTTAGCCAAAATGCTGGGGACCTAGGGCTACGGTTATACCCAGGGCCTGATATATGTTGTGCAAACCTTCTGTCATGGAATTACAGTCTCAACCTAGAATTGTGACTCTCACCTCAATTTTTTTTTTTTTGGTCTTTTTGAGACAGGGTCTCCCTGTAGCCCCAGCTGTCCTGGATTCACTATGGAGACCAGGCTGGCCTCGAACTCGAACTCACAGAGATCTGCCTGCCTCTGCCTCCCAAGTGCTGGGATTAAAGGCGTGCGCCACCATGCCCGGCTTCTCACCTCAATTTTTACAAATTAAAGCTAAATACGTTCTTCATTTTAAAGAAGTCAATTATAAAGTTTTATAAAAACGCAAAGTCCATTCACAAAGGAAAACAAAGCAATGAAGAAAATTGAATAACCCACAGAATGTTCCCGAGGAGCTAGAGTTGAGACCCTGGCCACCAGCCTGTACCTTGTGGAGAGGAAAACCTGGCATCACCCAGCCACAGCTGACTGCACCTGGAGACCTTGAGACAGCACCTTCCACCCTGGACTGCACATGCTTCAGGGATGCCTTGGTGGAGTGACCATACCTGGCAGAGTCACGTCTGCATGCCAGTGGAGCTTAGTTTACCCAGGTAACTTCTTCTGGATGGGCAGCACCCCTTCCCTAACTCGGACACTCCAAGGGCATAGCCCCTGTCCCCAAAAGGTTTCTTCCTTGAGGACCCCACCCCAAGCTCAGGCCTTGTCCCCAGGGGTTGGGCTTTCATTCAGCTAGGCTCTGCTGGGCTAGGTGGCTGTCAGGCACTTGGTGGCCACCCCTCTGGGGTTAGAGTGGAGCTCTGAGTCACTGTTGTCCTCTACACTGCCGCCTGGTCTGTTGTACAGCTTGGTCATCCAAGGGCACTTTCCCTAAGGCAGTGGACAGAAAGGAACCACCTGGAGACAATGGATGGCATACCATCTTCCCCATGGCTTCTCAGGCCTCCCAGGCCTCTAACCATGGGTCTGCTGAGGTGTCAAGCTAGGGCTTTCACGAGGACCCTCCTGCTTTGCCCAGACAATGGCTTCCCCAGGCACCCAATGCTAGGTCTTCGGAGGCTGATTTTTGGATCAGGGCTAGGGCTGGCAGGTGGAAGTTCTGAAAAGGAGGATCTGGGCCATGGGTTGGCAACAGGGAAGTAGACAGGGTTAGGGAGCAGGGCTTCCACCCCATTTTAAGTCTATTTTGAGCAGCTTATATTATTTGATCTGTGCTTCCAAAGCTGGGATCCCAAGACAGGACTTTAACTGAAGGAGTGGTCTGGGTGATTTCCACCAAGGGGCAGGCCAGGTGGGTTGTCCATGAGGTGCACAAGGCACCAGGCTGCAGTCAGGGTGCCGGAGATGGGCTCAGTGGTCAGGGTAAGAGGATGGTGAAGGGGCAGCTGGGCCTCCCAGGCTCCCCTTTCTCCCTCCTGACCTAAGACCCACCTGACTGCCTGTCCCCCTTTAGTAGCCTTTATCCCACAGCTCTGCCTCCTCCTCTGGCCTGGGTTGAAACTTGAAGGTGGCACATCTCTGTGGCACATCTACTGTGGGCACTGTTGAGAACTTGCCCCTGGGATTACTGGTTGACATTCTAATGATAATTTGTCACCTGAAACCCACCCCAGCTGGTTACAGTACAAGGATCATTCATCCTGTATGCTTTCTCACATGACTAGGCACTGGAATAAACTCTAGCCTACCAAGACTTTGAAGAGGCAGGAGCCCAGAAAAAGGAGGCAGGAGGCCCAGGTCAAGGGGTCCAACCTTATCTGGTTTCCAGAGTTGCTCTTGAAATAAGCAGGGTCTTGGCTATCATGATATCATATGCACAAAGATTTCTTTAAAAAACCCATATGCACTTGCAGAGGCAGAGAGTTAAGGATCAAGAGGGTCCTCTGTGGCAAGGTTAAGTATAAGGACTAGTGTACCTGCCCCCAGACACAAGGTGAAGTGCAGGGGTGAAGTGTCAGAGGTCAGCAGAGGCTACGGTGGGCAGGTCCTACAGTGCTTCATGATGGTGGGAACTGCTGTGGAATGGCCAGTGGGCTCTTGGTAAGAAATATTTAGGATTATCTGGGCGTGGTGGCACATGCCTATAGTCCCAGCACTTGGGAGGCAGAGGCAGGTGGATCTCTGTGAGTTCAAAGCCTACCTGGTCTACATAGTGAGTTCCAGGCCAGCTGAGGCTGCAGGGGACCCTGTCTCAAAAAGACCAAAAAAAAAAAAAAAAAAAAAACTATTTAGGATCTGGGATAGTTCTCAAACTTGGAAGACTTGAGGCAGTAGATCACACACTAAGAGGTAGATGTGGTCATGGCTTGAGTCAGGAAGAGCTGACTCCTCTACAACGTGCACCTGGTTAGGACCAGGCTGCAGAGTGTCTGGCGAGCTTCTCTCATGAAAGGGGTGGAGGCTGGGGATGAGTGTGCCCAGAAAGGGTGGCTACCCCAGTGTGGGAGGGCTCTGCATAGCCAGGGGGAAAAAGCTGTCAGAGAGTCTGGGAGTCTGGGTCCTTTGTCACCAGGGCTGCTGGGTTGGCCCACACTGTCCCAAAGCTCAAGCTGTACCTATGTTCAGTGGCCTCAGCAGCTGAAGGTGAGCCTTGGGCCGCTCAGCAGCCTAGAGCAAAAGGAAGGCTTTTTCCCCACCCTAACCCACATGCCTGTGACAATTGCATTCATTCTCAACTGGCCATCGGCTCTGCCCTCATGAGTGAACAGGGATAGCCCTCAGCAGGATCTGAGTAGAAGACACAGGAATGGGGAGGGTGGCAAAGGAGATGAAGGCTTGGCATGGGGAGTTTCCTGGAATGACCGAACTTCAGGGGAAACCACCTTCCAGTTTTCTAATGTAAAGAGCAGAAAGCTTTCCAGGGCAGGAGTTATGAACCACAATTGTTCACCGATTTTCCTTGAGCCCCACTGTGGGCTCTGTTGAGGACCTGCCCCTGGGATTACATGGTGACACTCAGATGATAATTTGTCACCTGCCCACCAGCTGCACCCTACTGCCCTTTCCCCTGAGGGGAGACTGGGCTTCCCCTCACCAACAGACACAGAGGACATTTGCCTTCCTGACTGTCCTCCTGCTCTGGTTTCTACTGCTGTTAGAGAGTCACAGCTTGGATCCAACCACAGTAACTGGAGGATACTCTCCGCACCGCTATTGGCACAGTCCCAGTAGCACCATTTCTACCTGGTGGCCCCTGCAAACTAGGACAAGGGACACAGCTGAGCACCTCTGATGCCTGGCCAAGAGTGACCAGCAGCAAAGCAGACACACCGCCTCCCAGAAAGCCAGGGGTCAGTGTGAGCAGGGGAACCAAGGGGTGCTTAGTCTCTCCCTGGCCAGACCCATGAGGTATGGAGGATAAGGACAGTTGTGGAACTTAGTTCTCCCTGGTGTTTCCTTACACTGATTGGGGGACTGGGGGGGGACCTTAACTCACAACCCCCACCCATGTATATGCACACACTCATCCTGCACTCACCACCACAACTTAGTCCTGCCAACTGTGCTGAAAGAGGCCCAGAGCTCCCTACTGGTTAGGCCTGGGGGTAAGGGACATGACACCCTTTACAGCAAGAGTGGCATGGGGCACCCACAGTCCATTGGATAGTGTGTTTTTAATTCTGATTCACCCTTGAGGCTCCTGTTTTCATATAGTGGCAAGAGCCACACTGGGTGACAAAGGTGGGGTGTGCAAACCCCAGTGGGGCAACTGAATGTGACTCCCCAGCCCGGTCTCTGGCCACCCTCATGCTCAGGGCTCTGCCACCCAGACTTAGTCCTCCCCTGAAGCCATGGAGGTGGCCCAGGGCGAGATTATCTGCCATGGGACCAAGAATGGGGTGTCCTGTTGGCCTTCAGTGGTTTGGGGTACAAGTGTCCCCAGGAGAAACTCCCTTGTTGGGCCAGGTGGCCATATCCAGACAGCACAACTGTCCTTGTGACCCTCATGGATGCCCGTACAAGTCTGCCAGTCGGGCAAAGCGGGGGCCCCAGTCCTGGAGGTAGTCATAGTCCTGGTCCTCGTCCCCCAGGCTGGAAAGGATGGAACTCAGCGTCCCTGCCACAGAGCCATCTCCCTCGTAGTCATAGATGAGAGCTGTGTCATAGGGAGGCACACTGGGGTCGCTGTCTGCAGCCTCCAAGCCCTGTGGAAAAAGCCCTGCAGACCTCAGGACCACCCAGAGACCAGCCAGGCGCCCTCTAGTGTTCAGTCACAGCAGGGCCAAGGTCTGCCTCAGGCAGAGCATCTCCTAGTGCACAGAGGGCAGCAGAGAAAGCGCTGTTTCCCTTGGCCTGTCCCGGCAGGGTGTGGAAGACCTTTCTCCTTGTGGCCCCTTCTCTACCACAACCCCCCGGCCTCCCAACTGGCCCTTGTAGAGGCAGTGTCTCCACTGCCACTCTGCCATCTTGTAACCAGATCCTGCACTAGGCTCAGCACTCCCAAGGAGACCCCGGTTTGCTGGGGTCTCCTCTGTATGCCCTCACCCAGCCATCCACTCCTTTTTGGACACCTGTGTACAGCTGAGAGTCAGTGAAGTAACTAAACAGATGCTTTGTCCAGCTGACCACAAATAGCACTGCTCCCTACCCCACCACTACAGTGAACAGAGAAAGGGCGCAAACCAGGCAAGGATGCGCCTCACAGAGGGTCAGGAAGCACAGGACCTGTTCTGGCTGGCCTTTCCTGGCCACATGACTTGCACAAGTCCCACACCTGTCCACACAGTTAACTTTAAAAAGTGCCTCCCTTAGCCTGGTGGCCCAGTGGATGGGCCGGCTCACCCACTCTCTGGCTCTTTCCTGAGGCTCAGCCGGGGGCCCTGCTGGTGAGCTCATCCCTGACATCCTGCGGTATGAAGGCCGGAACACAGGTGTGTTTGTGCACACGTGTATGTGTGCACACAAGCATGCGTGGGCCCCATTCTGTGGTCAACCCCAGGAGCACCTACATCACTGATGAAGTTGGCAATGTCAGCGGGGCTGCTGGGCAGCGCTCGGTGTGGCTGCCGCACGTGGCTGAAGGGAGCATCGCGGCGCAGCGGCGGCCGGCCCAGAGGGCGGCTCGTGGTCCTCGGTTCCACTGGGTGGCGCAGCTGGTTTATGTCATAGGCGTCCTGTGTGCAAAGTAAGAAGTTAAGCTCGGAGCTGGACCTGAGCGCGGGAGGAGCTGCTAGGAGGCAGGCAGTCCCGGCTGTATGGGGACCCCTTCCCCAGGACGAGTCTAAGTCGCCACTCCAGTTCCCTCCAGTCTTGCCTGGTCTTCCTCCCCGCCTCCTTGCTCGTCGTAGTTGAGAATGTTGTCCCGAAGGTCATCTTTTAGCCCGTGCAGCAGACTTTCGTCCCTCGACCGCCGTCCTAGTCGCATTCGGAGAGCGGCGAGCAGGACCAGCACTGCAGAGGAACCAGGCACTGGGAGGAGTGTGCACCCCAGGAGGCGGTGGGGGAGGGGCCCTGGGGGGGCCCGGCCTGGAGGGCGGGGCCTGGGGCGGGGTCCGAGGAGACCGGCCCGAGGGGGCGGGGCTTGGAGGGCGGGGCTGAGGAGGCGGGGTCCGAGGAGACGGGCCTGATGGGGCGGGGCTGAGGAGGCAGACACGGGCGGGCGTGGTTAGAGGGTAGTCAGCGAAGGGCGGGGCTAGAGGGCGTGGTAAGAGGGGCGGAGCCCTGGGGCGTAGCAGGCGGGACGGAGGGGTGCGGTCAGGATCTGATATGGGCGTGGTCAGTAGGGGTGGAGGGGTGTGGTCCGAGGGCGAAAAGGGAGGGACAGGAGCGGGGTGGAGGGGGCCCGGCGAGGGATGGGGGCGCCGGGTCGGGGATGGGGAGGCTTGGCGCGGGATGGGGGGCCGGGGCTGAGAACTCACGCAGCAGGACCACCGTGCTGGCCAGCACGATGACCAGCGCGCCCAGGCTGATGCCGGCGCCCCCAGCTTGCAGGGCGGCGGCCCCGGGCAGGCAGGAGCCGTCGGGTCCACAGCTGCACACAGTCACGTTCAGGGTCTGCTCTCGCTGCTGGGGCGGCTGCCCGGAATCCCGGAGCAGCAGGCTGAGGCGGTGCAGGCCCTCGGGGACCTGGTGTTGGAGTCTCAGGCGCGCATGGCTCACTGCGAAAGGTGCAACGGTCAGCAGAAGCTCAGGAACAGCCCAACTACCAGCGTCCAGACGGCACCTCGAGTTCCCGGACCTCAGTTTCCCCGTCCACCCATTGGGTACTACAAAAAGTAACCCCGGACCTACCCAAGGTGACCGTGGTGTCACGTGCTGTCTGCCCACCCCCTAGGTCCCAGGGTTGCGGGGACAGCGCACCGTTAATCTGGTTGAGGCTCCAGTTCCTGCTGAGATCTGGGACCCTGGGGCTCAACTGGAAGTGGAAAGGGGCCCCGTGGGGGGGCAGATCCTCATCCGTGGCACCCAAGATGAGGCCAGGGCCCTGGTCTGGCTGGCTGCACAGGCTACCAAGTGGAGGAGGGGCCAGTGCAGGGGCGTGGTCGTTGACTTCCAAGATCTCAATGGACAGGGTGCCTGTGGCTGTGCTGGGTGGCATGGCTGCAGGAAGGGAGGTCTTGTGAGCTCAGGCCCCACTCTCAGACCACCCTGTCAGTCCACCTAAGGAAGTGCTGGACTGTGTGTGGGATAGGGACACCACCCAGAGCAGGTCCAGGTCAGAGAGCCCCAGAGCAGACAGGAGTTTCCCCTCACCATTGTCCAGGGCCAGGATGATAGCCCTGTACCAGCCATCCTTCAAGAAGGGCGAGGCAGGGCTGAGCACTCGCTGGGTCTGGATCCTGCCTGTGGCCCCATCCACTTGCAGCCAGTCTTCTGGGTCATAGTCTTTGGAATAGCTGTTAGTGGGGAGAGGAGGGGTAGGATGGGATCTCTGAGCATACCCAGTACCCAAGCTACAGTCACCCAGCACTCAGCCTTTGAGGCCTCCCAGCTCCAGGTTGGTTTTCTTCTTTATTTTATTTTTTTACATCTATTTTGTTAATTTTTATTTTATGCATGAGTTTTGCCTGCATGTAAGTGCACCTATATCATGCAATGCCCGTGGGGCCAGAAGAGGGTGTCAGATCCCCTGGAACTGAAGTTAAGGACAGTTGTTAGCTGCCATGTGGGTGCTGGGAACCAAACCTAAGTCTTCTATAAGGGCAGCCAGTGCTCTTAACCACTGAACTATCTCTCCTGTCCCTACAATTAAAAAAAATCTATTTATTTATTTTATTTGTGTGCATGCACACACACACAAATATCACAGTGCATGTGAGGTCAGAGGACAATTTAGGGGAGTTAGTTTTCTCTTCCTACCCTTTGGGTTCTAAGAACTGAACTCTGGTTTGATGACAAGTGTCTTTACCCACTAAGCCATCTTGCCAGCCCCTCAAGCTGGTTTTCTGACCTAACTGCATATGATTTGTGCTGCTGCCTGGTGCTCCTCAGCAACTATCTGTCTGGATTCAACCTCCTCAGAGCTGGCACATGCAGGGGCAGAATGGAGATAGATGAGGACACTATGCCAGGCTTGGAGCCAGTGGTGAAATTAAGGCATTAGCGGCCATCTGTGGAAGAGAGGGCCTGTGAGAATGGACATGTGGACAGAGGCCAGCTGAGAACAGACTCAGGCTATGTGCCCTTGCTGCAGTCCAGCCCTATCCTGTGGGGTGTGGGACTCCAACATATACACACAGGCATCAGAGGGATTCAAGACCCCATAGACCATCAAGGATACACTTACATGACTCTTCTCTTTCATCCTCAGTATCCAGGTACCCTCAGCAGGAATGGGACCATTGATTTCCCAGCCTGACCTCCAGAACTCTAGGGCATCTCACCTGATTCTCTGTGGCTGTTGTGTATCAGGGTCTCTGGCAGAGAAGGTGACCACAGAGGTGCCTGGGGGGGCTCCTTCAGCCAGGCTGGTCCGCAATGGGTTCTCTGGGAACACGGGAGCCTCATTGGTGTCCTGCACCCACACGCTGACCCTGGTCTGGCCCCGCTGGGCCCGGGGGGTAGTGGCCTGAATTGGGGCCTCATTCTGCACAGACACTCTGAGCTCATATCGTTCATGACTCTCGTAGTCCAGGGGCTGTGGGAAGACAGCAGAGCCAGCCAGCTGAAACCCCTTGGGGTATCCTTGGGGAAGTCTCTCCTTGGGTCTGTCCAGAGAGCCCATCTCTCCTTCTCCTCTTTAACCTTGACACAATAAAAATTATGCAAGGCCCGAGTAATAATAGATAACAACATGAATTCCCATCGCTCCAAATGAATTTGTTGGGTGTGGTGTGGGCAGTTTCATGTGTCAGTCACAGTCTCTAGGTGCAGGTGGGTGGATGTGGCCACCTGATGCTAAGTAGAGGGACCATCTTTGGCTCATGGTCGTCCTCCTTTGGGTAGGTGAGGGCTTTGAGAATAGCATGCAAGATATACTCCTCCAGAATTCTAACGCCTCAAATCCAAGTTAGTTTCTTGCAATAAATCTTTTTTTTTTCCTTTTGGTCTTTTTGAGACAGGGTCTCCCTGTAGCCCTAGCTATCCTGGAACTCACTATGTAGATCAGGCTGGCCTTGAACTCACAGAGATCTGCCTGCCTCTGCCTCCCAAGTGCTGGGATTAAAGGCGTGCGCTACCACACCTGGCTGTTGCAATAAATCTTTTAATGCACCAATGTTCAAATATATTTAAGTCTACATATGTGTGCATGTATTTGTATGCATGCCACCTGTTTCTTGGCAGAACTGGGACTTCCCTACTGCCCAGTGTGGCCAAAGACCTGTAGTCAGCACCCACTCCTGATACCCTCACCCCAGGAGGTCAGTCAGCAGGTACAGCTCTAACAGAAAGGAATCCAGGGACGTTCAGGCTGTGGCTGCCCTGAGGAGGATGCCAGGGACAGACTCCAGCTGAGGGGAGTGAATATGATAGAGGCATGACTCACCTTCACCACAGACAGAACACCCTCATTGGTCTTGGGGTCTGTGCGGATGGCGAACTGCCTATCAGGATCACCTTCCAGGATGGTGAACCTGGCCACCCAGTTAGGGGATCCAGGCAGGTCCCTGTCCTCCACTTCAAGCCGTCCTACATCCACTCCGCTGACAGCCTCTGCAGCCTCCATGAAGAACTGGGGGAGTACCAGTTACTCACCAGGTTGGCAATGTGGGAGACTCCTCAGAACATCTGGCCCCATGACTCCCCTTGCTCCTGGCCTAACTCTGCTGCCTACCACAGGCATCCCCAGGTTTGTTTCCTGAGTCAATGATCCCACTTGCTCTAGCTGCTCCTGGGTATCGGGAATGTCTACTCTCCTCTCACGGCAAGGGCTGGGAGACTTACCCTGGGCTGAAGATCCTCCCCGAAGAACCACACCCTGATGCATGCAATCTTTGTGCCTGGGGACCCTTTATCTCAGAATCCATGCTCTTCACACAGGGCCCTTTTCCAAACCATGCAACTGTCCACCCTCACAAGTCCCGGGCTGGAGCCTGAGGAGGCGTGGCAGCCCTAAGCCAGTGGGATGGGCAGAGGCTGCACCTCATCTTTGGTGAACTCAGGTGCATTGTCATTGATGTCATCTACAGAGATGATGGCCAAGGCTGTGGCTGTGAGGCCGTCTCCAGACATGTCTGCCACCTGCAGGGTCAGGTTGTACACGGCAACCACCTGGGGGTACCATAACATGATAACGTTAGAGGATGTGGTATCTAGGGCAGACCACCTTGGGAATGTAGCAGACCAGCATACAGGGCCTCTTGTAGTCTAAGACCTTGCAGGGACCGCCCCTGCCCCAGACTGTGAGTGGGTGAGAGGTCAGTTGTGGTGTACTGACACAGTGAGGTTTCTGCCTGAGGGAGCCACATCAGTGGCAGCGAACACCCAGGTGGAGCTGCACAGGAGGGCTTCAGAGACATCTGGAAGCACAAGAGCCTGGGCCAGAGGGCAGGGTCATCAGTGAGGAAGGACCAGGATGAGAGTGACAAGCAGGGATGGGGGGAGAGGATGGCAAGGCCCTGCCCTGACAAACCCTGAGGTTTGAGGTGGCCTGTTGTGGAGAACTGGCCCCCAGATCCCTGGCTGTCCACCTGCCTCACCTCACGGTCCAGCCCCACTTGCACAGTACGGATCTCTCCAGTGTGCTCATCAATGCTGAAGAGTTCGGGGCTGCCCTGCTCTAGGATGGAGAACCGGAGTGCGGCATTGTCTGTCTCAGGGTCGTCGGCATCTGTAGCCTCAGCCCTGGTCACAAAGGTACCTGGGGAAGACAGGGAGAAGTGGGTCCGACAACCATGGGGGCAGGTGTGGTGGGACACTGGGGTGCAGTAGAGGGCTCCTAGTGTGTGCAGGCTCCCCAGGCCTGACACTCTGCGACCACAGAGTGAGCAATCTGCTCTTGCCATTGTGTCAGTGGGGCTGACAGTGCACACTGGCCTCAAGTCCAGGGCACTCTCTCTGTCCTGCAGCCGATTCTGCCCATACAAGGTTGACTGCTGCAGGAGCATAGTGGTGAACTTTTGATGGAGCAAATGGAGTTAAGGCACCAAGTCAGAGTGGTAAACCCACTGGAACTCTCTGATGACCTCGAGCCCTGCCACAAGGCGATGCCAGCCCAGATAGAGGATACACATATGTGGGTACTGAGCAGAGCTGGCACCGCACTTTCCTGTAGGGTAGCTGTGGAATCAGGAAGGTGCTGCTGGTTGAGGCCCAGCACAAGTAGGATGGATCCTACTTCACCTCGCCCATCCCTTGGAGGAGGTTTGGCTTGACTCTCCCAGCTCAGGTGTAGGAACGCTGAGCCAATGGGGTGGGTGGGAAAGACTAGCTTCCAGTCCATTCTGGGGAGTTGCTCTGGCCAAGTAGTCCTTACTGATGTGTCTTAAGCTCTTGGCTCGCTCACCTCTGATGTCATTTGCTGGATACACTGTGGCAAATATCAGCCACTGGCCCAGGCCTGCATGCTCAGACATGAGCTACTGACCAGTACTGGCCCCCGCCCCCAGGCTGAAGCCAAAGACTGTGCTTCTAGCAGACTTTTCTGTCATGGAGCTCAGATTACCAATCCTGTGAGCATGTGCTCTCTGGAGAACAGGTAAATAGGCACGGGGGAGCCGGTTCCCCCATGTCAGAAGGGGCTCCAAAGTCATGAGGGTACCCTCGAGCTACCTCTGGAAGCAGAGGTGCCACTGGGAACTGGTGTGCTATGACTAACATTGGTGTGAATGAGTTCATATGTGTGTTTACACACATGTATGTTTCTGCATATATGTGTCCAAACATGAGCACATTCCCCAGGTTTGTGTGCTCCAAAGGCCTGGACAGTGGCTAGGTTGATGCCCAGCAACAATCACAGCTCCACAAGTCTACCCAGAAGTAAATGAGCATTCTACATACACCTGAGGAGAAGGGCCCAGGGAACAGCTGCCTGGTGAGGGGGTGGGGTCAGTGGGAGTCTGAGAGGTGCTGAAGCTGGTCGGGGAAGCTTAAGGCACAATGGGAGATTTCCAGTCCAGGCTGGGATTGTGACCAAGTCATAATCCTGGGAGTATCTCTACCCTTGTGTCAGGCCTCTCCTGTCCACTGTAAAGGGCTGGAGCAGAGCTAAGGCTGCCAGGGCTCACAAGTGCACCCCCTGCTGGGAAAGGGGGACAGAAAAACCTCAGGCACTACATACTGCCCAGGCAGAAATGGAATCATCCTGGGAAGCCATTTGCAACCAACCATGGCTGGGATGGTGCTGAGGTGAATCCAGCCCCATCATACATACATGTCCACCCATCACCAAGTCCTCCCTGCTACAGGTGACCTGACCCAGAGCAGGCACACAGTTGTAGAGGATTGTAATAACCAAGTACTGGATGTGCCTGGTGGAGAAGGTGGGAAATGTGCCTGAAGGGAAGGGAACTCAGGAGAAGAGGAGAGAATGCAGGACTGGACACCTGGCCCTGTGTTCTCTGTTGTTACAAAACTCATTATTATGGAAATTGCAAATGAATAAGGTCAGTAGACTCCATACTGTATGGTAGGGATGTTAATTTCATGACTGATAATTACACTAAGTTGTTAGTGCACACTGACTTTTTTTTTTTTTTTTGGTTTTTTTTTGAGATAGGGTCTCCCTGGAGCCCCAGCTGTACTGGACCTGGAACTCACTATGTAGACCAAGCTGGCCTTGAACTCACAGAGCTCCGCCTGCCTCTGCCTCCCGAGTGCTGGGATTAAAGGCGTGCGCCATCACACCCGGCTCAAAAATTATATTTTAAAATTGTTTACAAAGTAATGGGTTTCCTAAAGGTAATTTTTATTATTATATAGGGTTACATAAAGTCATTTTCACTGGCATATTTATTATTTTTGTTTTTTTGAGACAGGGTTTCCCTGTAGCCCCAGCTGGCCTGAAACTTACTATGTAGACCAGGCTGGCCTTGAACTCACAGAGGTCCACCTGCCTCTGCCTCCTGAGTGCTGGGATTAAAGGTGTGCACCACCATGCCCGGCAACACACTGACATTTTTAAGAATGCCCATGGGGCTGGAGAGATGGCTCAGTGATTAAGAACACTGGTTGTTCTTGCAGAAGACCCAGGTTCGAATCCCAGCACCCACATGGCAGCTAACAACTGTCTGTAAACTCCAGTTCCAGGGGATCCGACAGCCTCTTCTGTCCTCCACGGGCATTGCATGACACGGGTGCACTTACCTACATGCAGGCAATACACACATACACATAAAATAAAAGTAATAAATTTAAAAATTGAAAAAAAAAAGAATGCCCATCCAGTTTGTAACCAAGCAGCCTCAGACAGGGGAGCCAGAAGAGAGGAAAAAGGTCAAATGGATTAAACATGTCTCTGCAAGAGGCACAGGGGAATTCTTGGGGACTTTTCTATAAGTCTGAAATTATATCAGAAGAAGGATATTATAAAAAAAAAACAACTGCAAGTCTTGCAAACTACAATAAATGGGATGAAATAGAATAAACAAGTGGCTGGTGGTTTTGGTGGTTGGGGATGTAGAGGGAGGGGTGGACAGAGTCTCATGTAACCAAGGCAGGCCTCAAACTGGCTAGGTAGCTGAGGAGAACCGTAAACTCTGGCTTATTCCTGCCTCTTCCTGAGTGCTCAGATTACAGGCATGTGCCACCACAAATGGCTGGGTTGTTTGAGACCAAATTGCCACTGAAGCAGCAGCTGGAGGAGGCACCGCCCCAAGCCGTGGGGCTTCTTTTGGGGTGATAAAAACCACCTTGAACAAAGGAGTTGGTGCATGGCTCTGTGAATTCACTAAACAGGGCTCAAAGATAAACTTCATATCATGCAAATTTCACCACCATTAAAGGGGGGAAAAGCAACTGGAACTTGGCCACCCAGAGTCCTGCGTATTCTGGAAGTTCTGGGGGTGAAATTCATATTTACATATGAGAAGTAAATAGAGACTTACTATATCAGACTCTTCAGATGACCTCATAATTGCTTTGATTCTGCAATGCTGGAGATGAAACACTGCATGCCAGAAAAGCGCTCTACAGCTGGGGGACTCAGTCCTGAAATCCTTAAGGGTACTCCTGGACTTGAACCCCCTGAAGCCCTCCCCCTGGGTAGGGACTGTGTTCCCGCCTTACCTGGGACGGCGCCCTCCAGCACATGGCCTGTGAATACGTCCTGCAGGAAGGTTGGCCGGTTATCGTTTTGATCCACAACTACGATCTCCAGGTCTGTGGGATCCTCCAGGGTAGAGCCACCCAAGTCAAGGGCAAAAGCCCTTAGCTGTCCAAACAGAGGGCAAGGGCAAGAGCTGGTTGTATGGCCCCTGAAGCTGTGCAGAAGGGAGAACAAGTGCAGATAGACTCCAGCTGGACAGGTGAGGTGGGCCATGTGCCGCAGGAATGCCCCTTGCCCTGAAGGGAATCTGCTTTCTCTTAGCACAAGGGTGGCTACTTTGCTTCCTCTCTTGCCTCTGCTGCCAGGAACCTTAGAGCATCATTCAGAGGCGTGAAATGAAGCTTTCACTCCAGCTCCGAGTCTATCTCCCTTTCTCTATGTGGTTTTTGGCTCCTGTCAAAATTTAATTCACTTTAATTTTTTCGAGACTGGGTCTCACATGAATTTACAATTTTTTTTTTTTGTCTTTTTGAGGCAGGGTCTCCCTGTAGCCCCAGCTGGCCTGGGACTCGCTATGTCACAGAGATCCACCTGCCTCTGCCTCCCGAGTGCTGGGATCAAAGACATGCGCCACCACGCCTGTCGAGTTTACATTTTGATCTGTTTATTTTCTATTAGGGAATGGCTTAGCGGGATTTCGAGTTCAGCCAGGGACACAGCAAGACCCTGTCTCAACAAAATAAAATGAAACCCTCTAGTGGGTTTCTCTGTAAGACGCCACAGGAATTTCTTAAGGTTTGAAAGAAGATTTAGAGAGTATACAAGAAATTTTTGTCCTTGGAAAAGTGGAGGCAGAAAGCTGTCTTGCCTCAGGTGAGAAAGGGCAGGTTGCTGGAGGTTTCATTTAATTTTATTTTTGTAATAGGGTTTTGCTATGCAACCCAGGCCAGCCTCAAACACATGATCTTCCCACCTCAGCCTCCTGAGTGCTGGGATTACAGGCATGTGATACCATGAAAATCTCTAATTTTTCTTTTTAATATTTTGCCATGCTAGGGTTGGAACCCAGGGCCTCTGCATGTTAAGCAAGCACTTTACCTCTGAGCGTCATTCCAGACTGGCAAACGGCTGTGTGCTGAGAACCCAAAGGCAGGTCTCACTTCTTGACTTTGTGCCCACCTCAATTCAGCTCTTGCCACCCTTCCCTGAATCCCAGCACTGTGAAGATGGTGAGGGCCCCTCCCTTGCCAATCGCACCTCTAAGACCATCCCACTGCTGACAGCACACTATTTTGGAATTCTTCATGACATGCACACCCATCAAACAATCCAGAGGGAACCAGCTGTAGTTCAGCAGTTGTAGCCATGCTCTGCCTTCCTGAGAACCACCCACTCCCAGCCACATGGCCTCGGGGTGCTTCTGTGTTAAGTGGGAACAAGATCCCAAACACTTTATCCTTAGCTCCTGGTCCCTAATGGTGCCACATCTTGTTGGAGAAACATCTGGCCTGGGATCTGTCAGGGGAGCAAAGGCCAGAGCAGCAGTAAGGACCCCGGCCTCCCATCAGGTCCCACCCTGAAGCGATCAGTCTTCTCCCGGTCCAGCGTAGCGTTGAGGAACACCCTCCCAGTGAACTTGTCAATGGAGAAGACATTGCGGGGCTCCTCGTCCACACCGGGCCCCTGTATGCTGTAGATGACGCTGCCCAGCTGCTGCTTATCAGATCTGATCTGTGGGATAGGAACAGGGCTGAGTGAGGGCCAGAGGATACCCCTACACCTTCCAGTCTCTCCTCAGCTAGATAAGCAAAGGTCCAAAGCTCTGAGCCCAACATGTCACCCTAAGCTCAGGCCCAGCTCCAGGGCATTCTGAGATCCCAGTGACCAGTCGCATTCTGAGTGTGTGGAAAGCTGGCTGTTCATGTCATAGGTCTACTTGGGCTGGTGACTAAACAGAGCAGATTTGCTTCAGGGGTACTCACCCTGAAGGTGTGTTTATTGGAGCAACTCAGAATGCATGTGGTCCAGGGGTGTTGGAGCCCCACTTTTGTTCTGGATGAGAAACTCAGAGCAGGAGGGTGGGGAGCCCTTCCAAGCCTGCACACCTAGCCTCCTATCAGCAGTCAGGGCTCCCCCAACCCCCAGTGGATCCTTAGGGAATGGGGGAACCTACAGGGACACCCCAGTCCCTCCACCCCCTCCACACTCCTCACCTGCACCAGTGGGTAGGGGAGGCGCTTATGATTCTCAGACACACTGATGGGTGGGATCACCCAGGCTCTCCGCACACGGCTTGGAGCTGGTGCCTGGCGCCAGGGATACAGGGTGCTGGGTTGTAGCTCAGGAACCCCAGAGGACAGGCCAAGACTCTGCAACACCAATGGCCACAGTTACTTAGGGCACAGGTTTGTACCAGGAGCACCAGGGTGACCTCATTCTCTCAGGCTGAGGTTGGGCTCTATACAACCTGGTGGGTCACCCTGGATGGCCACACCCTGAGTGTTGAACTCTCAAAGCTCCTATGGATGATCCATGATTGTCTCCTTTCCTTGCCTAGAGCCCAGAATACAGACTGCATCCATAGGGTCACCAGACTCTTAGCGGTGGAGGCTCACTGGCTGGTAGGAGGCAATGCCAAGGGTCTGCACCATTCCTGAGGTCACCTGAGAGGTCAGATGTCCCTATGTATGCCAGAGGCTCAGGTTCCCACAGGGCAGGAGAGGCCCAGGGAGCAGTTCTTGCCTCCTAAGGGTGAGGGCCTATGGTGTGGGCTACAGCTGGTAGGACCAGGGACTCAGTCAGAAGTGGAGGCTCTGAATTGGGGATAGGAGTTGGCATGTGGCCTCATAGCTTTAATGTTTGTGGGTGACTCCAGGCTGTCCAGAGCATTGCCTGCTTTTGTCAGAAGAGACCAAGTAAGTGGAAAGGCCACTGTATCCAGCCCTCAGCCTCCAGCCTAACCCCAGCCCTGCCTAGGACAGCCATGCACACAGCAAGCCCAGTACCCAGACCTTCCTCTGCCAGGCAGGCCAGGGGGCTAAATTTCAAACACCCTTCAGGAATAGGGTGCCTGGGAGAAGATGGCCCTTCTGCTAAGGGTCTGTAGCGGGCAGAAGGGCTATGCCCAGGGTGTTGCTTTGTGGAAAGGAAAGTCCAAGCCACCAGATTCCCAGGCAGTCAAGGACAACAGGAAACTTATCTAAGCTGCTTTGTATAGCAGCACCTTGTGGGCCTCATCTGCTGACTGGCCTGGTCTATGACAAGGGCTAAGGATATGGCACAGGGACAGGGAGGACATATCCTATAGCCGCCATAGGCTGGGATGGGATAGAATGGGCCAGAGCCAGGGCTACTCCAAGGCACAGGGTGAGGCTTAGCTGAGAGGGAGACTAGTGACAAGGGACAGTCCACTTGATGCACCTTGGGATTTTCACAGCTAGATTTCGGTTCTGAGAACTCAGATCTCTTGGGGCACCCTTCTCTCTTCCTTACCACACCCAGGAGACTGGTAGTGACCCCCAAGAATCCCAGTGCTGGGCGAATGAGATGGCACAGTGGGTAAAGATGCTTGTTACCAAGCCTATTAACCTGAGTTTGATCCCTGGGATCCACATGGTAGGAGAGAACTGACTCCCACAAGTTGTCTTCTGATCCCCACATGAATGCCATGACATGTGTGCCCCCAATAAATAAATAAATGTAATAAAAATGAAAACAAAGAATCCAGTGTCTACAGGCTATGTGGCTAAAGACTGGAGATGAAGCCAAGTCCTTCCACTCCAGGGTGAGCCCCTTGGGCCAGGGGTGGGGGACACAGGGCAGAGAAAGCACTGCTGAGCCTAAGTCCACTGTTGGAACCCTTTTGTGCACAAAGATAACCTCACCCCTCAAAAGGGGAAACTGAGGCCTGGAGAAGAGACTTGTCTACCAAACTGATGGCAGAATGTGTAACAGCCCAAAGATGTCCCTAACTTTTTGGGACTGCCTGGTTCCTGGGGTGGTTTCCATCTCCAACTCCTGGATGGACCTCACCCTGAGTAACTGGCCTTCTGGCTGCCTCTCATCCCACTCCTTGATTGGGAAGTAAGCTGAGAACCAGTCATCTGAGGATTTGGGGGACACTCCTGTGCGCAGGCCCTAGCACCTCTGAACATTGTCACATTCTGCATTTGTCCACAAGTGCAACTTCATGGAGTGACAGCGGAGCCTCATTTTAGTGAATGTACATTACTGCCCATGACCAGCATCTGTCTTGCAGGATGCAGCACCATGCTGATGCCCACACTCACCACCACATCTAGCCTTAGCAAGGGTGGCTGAGATGGGGGATCTGTACCTGCTCCCTCCAACTCTGGCAGGGGTGAGCCCCAAGGGATGCCCTGCATGGGGATTCACAGCCAGTGGGGACTGTTGAGTGGAAGCAGCAGCTCCCCTGGTTGGGAGGGGCCCAGACTCTCCTCTGCATAAGCCCAGGCCTCCCTCTGTTTTTGTTTGTTTTGTTTTGTACAGCCCAGGCTGGCCTCACGTTCACTAAGTAGCAGGGGATGACCTTGCACTCCTGATCCTCCGGCTTCCACTTCCCGTGTGCGTGCCTGAGTGTATGTGTAACACGGGCATGCAGATGCCAAGGGAGGCCTCCCTCTCTGGGGTCAGCCCATCCCAACCTGGAAAGAACCTTGGGCTGCCCATGTGGAACAGAAGGTGCTAGGGGATCTGAGGACAAAACAGTGCTGAGACTGTGGCAGGTAGGGCCGCCTTTGAACATGAATGCACCAAATACGATACTGTGTGTGCAGCCCTGTCTCCAGCATGGACTCCATGAAGACAGAACTCCACCCTTTCCCACTAATGTCAACATCTTTGTGCAAGGGACGCCTGCCCCCAACGTCCTCCTGTAGGACAGCAGGTGAGCTGGGATGGGGGTGCTAGGGATCTTCTGCCCACATCTCATCCTACAACCCCTTGAGTCCATACTTGGAGAAGCTCCCAGTACATGAGGGAAGGGAGTACAGAGGCCATGGCAAGGGCCAGGAATCAGGCAGCTGGCAGCTGGCTTATCTCTGTAAGAATTTGTGGAGGCTGGAGTGTTGGCTCAGTGGTTAAGAGCATTTGCTGCTCTTACAGAGGACCCAAGATTGCTCCCCAGCACCTACATCTGGCAGCTCACAACCACCACCTATAACTCCAGTTCTAGGGGCTCCAACACCTTTTTCTGGCCTCCTCAGGCACCTGCACGCACATGGTGCACATACATATGCACTCTGGTATAATCACAGCACACATACACATAAAATAGATTTTTAAGAAGTCTTGTGAACAGCACTCATGCTTAGGAGGGTGGCAGAATCAGGCCCCTCTTCCCTCTAGGTCCCTCGACTCTCATTGCTCCCTTCTAGTCAGGGGGTCTTTGGGCCCCTGACTGGCCTCTCTGTGCCGAGTGGGCAGCTTCTCTCCATCTGGAGTGGCAAGCTGGCCGCCCAGTTCCCTGGCCTCCACTAAGCTCTAGCCTCCCCTTCAGCTGGAACTATAGTCAATAGAGGGTCTGAGACTCAAGGTGGGTGAGGCCAATGGCCTCAGGAGGAGAGAGCAGTGCCCTGAGGTCAGCTGGGAAGGAGACCCAGCCATCCAGGAGGCCCTTTAGGCTTCTCCACATCTCTTCCTGCAGCCTGGGTGGCCATCTAAGGCCCAGGGTAAGAATCAGCCCCATGAGCTCCTGCACGCAACCTGCCTTGAGATCAGGGCCTTTGGCTCACTCTCTGCTGCTCTGTTCTGTTTCACAGTTGGCAAACTGAAGTCTGACATATCCATGCTAGGAGCCTTTGCTCCTGTCCTGCCAGTGGGACCCCAGCCACCGACTCCATAGCCACCTCACAATGCCCAAGGCTGTCTATGTCAAAGTCACTCCACTCACTTGGCCCTGGAGTCCAGAGAGCAGAGGACCCTGTTCAAGATGGGAGGATGAGTTGGGAGGGGCCAGCGTCCCACTTAGGCAGCTCTGTCCTGACAGATGGCAGCTTCGCCTTGGAACCTGCCAATGCCAGCCACACATAGCCACTTCCAGATCAGCTTGGTGTTCCTGCCAAGCACACACCTGCCTGCCTGGCATGGGGAGCCCAGGCCACGGTCTCTGTAGACACAGGGGCTTTTGCCATAGCTTGGTGCCAGGCCTTGGAATGTGCCTGTGGGATGAACCCTAACTCAACTTCACCCCCCAGGATGGCAGGTGGGCTGGAATCTAGGGCTCCTCACAGCTACTGAGGACAGTGGGGAGGAGGGTAAGCACCTCATCTCACAGCTCCAAGACACACAAGAGATGCTGAACCTCAGAGGCAGGCCTGTTGAGGATGGGGGTTCCCAGGCTGTGTCCCGAGGGACACCCCAGTCAGCCCTGCTGGGCAGACCTTCCGCCCTTGTCTCTTCCAGCCTCCTCAACCAGCTGTCTCAGTCGGCCACCCACGGACTTGGCACTGGCCGGGTGTGGTCAAGGCAGAGCCTGGGAATCCTGGGTCCTTAGCTTGTCCACATCCTGAGTTCATGAGGTCAGCGGAGCCACAGTGTCTTGGCAGGGCCCCTTGCCCAGATAAGAGGCTGCAGGGGTATGGGTGGGTGCCCAATGCGCAGCCCATAGCCAGCTTCTGGCACTTGGGAGGAGTTTGTGCAGACCATCCTTTGTTCTCCCACCTATCCCTTTCCCAGAAGACGTGGCAGGCTGGAGGCAAGACTGGGAGCCACCTTAGGAAGCTCAGGGCATATGGTGCCTCGGACAAAGCCACATGGACAGAGCCAGCTCAAGGCCCCCATGCCAGGGGTAGAGGATAGGGACAAAGGCACCTGGAAGGTGATTTTGTGAGGAGGTATTCCTAGACGCCCAACTCCTGTCCACACACTGTCCCCCCATACCAAGCCAGACAGGAAATAATTACAGATGTCCTTCACAGAGTAGGTGCCCAGTGTACCCCAGCTAGTTCTAGTTCTCCTTCTGACCAAGAACTCAGACAATAGTCTGGAAGTCCTTAGGATGCCCTGGCCTCTAATCAACACTCCTGTGTCAACTGCCCCAGGGATCTACCCTGAACCCCAAGGGACCAGGCCCCTGCCATGCATTGAGTATGTGCTCTGGCCAGGCAAGGGGCTTACCAACACTACTGATGGGAACAGCATCAGCCATTGCCAGTGATCAAGGAGAGTCCAGACCCCTCTCTCCCCTGCACTGAGCCTGGGAGGAGAGGTTCTGGTTACAGAGACATAGGACTGACAGGTCTCACATGAAAGCCAGGTGCTTGCTCCTTCTTGGCAGAGCTAGTGGCCTCAGTCTGGGGTCTACTGGTAGAGGAGGTTAGGAGGGCAAGGCTGGGCCTGGATGCTTGCTACAAAGTATGCTCTGTCTCGACAGAGACAGGAACAGTGTTACCACCATTTGTCCAGTTAAAACACCATTGTGGCATAGGCGTGGGTGTGGGTGTGGGGTATGGGGGGTGGTGGTGTCCTAACTAATTTGCAGGAGAAGGACCTTCCTAGGTTCTAGGACAGGGGAGCAGGGGTAGGGTCTATCTGGGAGGGGACAGGAAGCCCCTGAACTGACTCTCCACATGTGTCTCAGTCCTGCACCCCTCCCCCGAGGTAGAATCCACAGGCATTTCGTTCCTGGAGAGCCAGCATGCCAGGAATGGGCCCAGCTGTCGGTGTGGCCCAGGGTGACCCACATTCCCCTTGTGGGACCACCCTATCCAGCTGCTGCAGCCATCAGAGGATAATGAGGAGGGGGTAGATGGCAGCTGTTTCCTCCTATCAGCCTAGCCCTGACAGTGCCCAGGACCATGAGCCTGCTTTCTGCCTTGGTCACTGCAGATTGCAGGCTGGGTCTGCCAGAGATGAAGCCCTCTTCCGAGCATCACAGAATAGTCCTCAGAGGGACTCCTGAGGCCCACCTTTCTTCAGAGACCACATGGCTCCTCTGGTTCCCGGACATGGGTGGGGGGCTCCACTCAGTGGACAAAGGGCTCTGGACCATCCATGTACTTCCCTACTGTGGCTCAGGGTCAGCAACCAGAGGTTCAGTGGGGGCAGGGGTTGACAGGAGCAGTTATTATTGTGTGTGTGATACCAAGATTAGACCCTGGGCCTCACACATACTAGGCAACCACTGAACTAAAGCCTCATTCTGTTTTTATTTTTGAGACAGAGTATCAATAAGTTCTGTCCAGGTTGGCCTTGAATTTGTAATCTTCCTGCTTCAGCCTCCTGAGCAGCTGGGGATCACAAGCTTGAGCCAACAGGCTGGTTCTGAACATAGTCCAAGGCCCTGATGCTGCCTTGAGGTTCAAGAAGCTCAGATTTTAGAGGTGGGAGGCATTAGAATAATCTGTCAACCCATGCAGAGCCTACCTCCAGCCCCAACCTGAGACACCAGAGACAGCAAAGCTGGGCCAGGGTGACAGTCCAGGGGCTCAGTGGGAGAGGAAGGAGTGACCAGAAGGTGGTCTCAGGACCCATGTAACTGGACAAGAGCAGGCAAAATCGTGAAAGCTGAGCAGCGTGGGGGAGGTGGGCACACACATTTGGCAGGTCCAGGAGACAGTTTCCTTGAACCCGAGCTAATTTGAGCTGTGCTTTTGTGCAGCAAGCTCAGGAGGCCAGGCCTCAGGGATGTATACCCATCCCCACTGGACTCCTATGGCCTCTAGATGCCTGGGGGATGGTATTCTACAGTATCCTGTGGGGGTTGGGGGAGAGGGGAGGCCTAGGGGAGGGGAAGAGAAATGCTATCCAGTGCTACCTGCCCTGCAGCAGGTGTGTGTGCAAGGCAGACAGGAGGGGCCTCCAGGATCATCTGAGCAAGCTCCAGGCCTTGGGGTGCCAGTAAGGAATGCTGTTCCTACAGTGAGTGGGGAGAGGAAACTGCCTCTGAGGGGTCAGGATATCATGCACAAAGCTGGGATTCTAGGCAGGATCTGGCAGAGTGCCAGGTCTTGGGGAGTCTAGCTGCTGTCTGCAAGTGGGGGGGGGGGTAAGTGCCCCAAGACCAGGGGTGGTTGTGGCTAGAGCTGTAGGGCTGATGCCCTGGAGCCAGCTGCTGGAGGGTCCTGCTGGCCAGGTGCCCAGTCAGCTGCCAGGGAGTGAAACCAGAGCAGAGCTGCTAGGCTTGTGGGAATTTGAGGGGACCATGAAAATCCTGAGGAGGATGCTGGGACTGGACCGACTCCCCCTCCCATGTCCAGGGCTGGCTGACTCCCCTTGAACCACAGCAATGAGTGGTGGTAAGGCATACTGACCCTCTGTGCTTGCCACCTGTTACCTCTGAGAGGCAGAGATGGTCCACAACCACACTGCTACATCTGTGACCCTAGACCCAGGCAGAGAAACCACATCCCTGCCCTGTGCCACCCAGCAGCCTGAGGCAAGAGGGACGTGGCCTGCCTTCGGAGTTCCCATAGTGGGGACATCCAGGACCTGGGGTCCTTCCACCCTGTCTTGTGCCATGTTGGGAAGGCAGGGTGCTGAGGGCTGAAAGATCTAGGGACAGCAGGCCACTACTGTCTTCAGGTGGACACAACAACTTTCCTGGGCCAGGCCACAGCCAATATACTCTGTCAGTTGGCTTTGGCTTGGAGCGCTCATGGAAGCAGTGGTCTCCAGAAGCCTGTGTCCCAGAGGTCTGAGGAGCAGCTACTCCTGCTGACCAGGCAGGACCATGGGCAGGGGCTCAGACACCACCAAGGCCAACCAGGGGCATGTACCCCACTCATGCCAGCGGGCAGTCTTACAGGCTCTGTAGGCTTCCTTCCCCCCGCACTCTCTGCCCCACATTCAGTCTCACAAGATTGACCCCCAGACTCTGAGAGACCCCTGGAGGCATGGCAGGCAGCTCCAGACTGAGGGACAGCCTGCTGGCTGGTCTCTGCTTGTGCCCCAGTGGGCTTGCAGGTCCTGGACCATTCTGCTCTCCGTGCAGGGGAGGTGGGCCACCCTCCTTGTGGAAACGCCTGGGCACCGAACACCCCTTCCCACAGTGCACTGGAGAGTGTGGTCCACCCTGGACACCCAGGCCTCAGCTCTCGGGTCCCCCAAAGACGCCCGAAGCCAGTGGTCCGGAACAGAAACTGTCGGGCGCCGGGAGGCAGGGACCCCACCGCGTGCAGAAGCTTACCTGGCCAGCCTGGGCGAGCAGCCCGAGGGCGAGGAGCAGAGCGGGGCCCATTGGGACGGCCGCGGAGCGCCGAGGGCAAGTGACCGAATGGGCGGCCGGCTGGACGGCGCCTCGCTGCACTCCGAGGGCTGAGTGACAGCGCAAGTGCGCGGGGCGCGGGCGGAGGGACAACACGTGTTCGGCGGGGCGGGCCCGGGGCTGAATGACAGCACGTGTGGGCAGGATCGGGGTGGGGCTGGGGGTAGCAAGAAGACGATAGGGAGCTGGCAGGGTAGGGCCTGGGTAGAGTGACAGCACGTGTGGGCAGAGCCCGGGCCGGGTGGTAGGGGCTGAGCTGGGTAGTGGGGCGGGCCTGGGCTGAGCGCATGCATGTGTCAGGACTGGGAGTGGACGTAGGGGCGAGGACTCGGCATGCAGTAGGCTTCTGCAGCTGGGGCTCTGGCAGCTGTCGAGGGAGGACCAGGCTTATAGAAGTGAGCAGTGGGGGTGAAGGAAGGCTGTGTGGAGAGGAGGGAGCTGGCTGGGTTAGGGACCAGTTTGGATCATTGATTCGCCCTTCCAGGAACTCATGGATTTGGGGATCCTGCCTCAATGCACTGGACAGCTCTTCCTGGGGCGATACCCAAGGCTTGCTCCCTTCCTGTCCTTAGGGTTTGGACCGATAATACCACCTCACCACTGACCAGTTGGGGGTCCCTTGGAAGGTGATCTTTGTGTTATCACCTGAATAGAGTGGCAGGAGGGCTGTGGAGTAACTTGGAGTTCATTCCAGGCAGAAGAACTGGCCTATGAAAAGCTTGGGTGGAAGGGGAAGAAGAGCTGGAGCAGGGTCCGTTTGAGGGGTTCAGGCCCAGGTGTCACCTCCCTTGCCACTACCATGGGCTCTGCTCAGCTCTCCTCTGTCTGCCCCCCTGCCTCTGCTACACCATGGGTATGTGGTGGCAGGCACCTTGACTCTGGGGCTTTGTGGATGGTGAGGGCTCTTGGGATGGTCCTTCCTGACCTCTGCTGACACTGACTGCAGTCCTGGTGACTGTGTGGCATCTCTAATAGCCCTGCTCTGCACCCCAGTCCCTGAGGGGAAGGGCTGCTGGGCAGACCGAGGTGACTTACACTGAAGGGCAGGAGATGTTACTGGATTCAAGGCTTAAGAATGGGGAGGGCAGGGGCTGGAGAGATGGCTCAGTGGTTAAGAGCACTGACTGCTCTTGCAGAGGACCTGGGTTCGATTCCCAGCACCCACATGGCAGCTACGAACCGTCCTTAACTCCAGTTCCAGGGTAATCCTAAACCCACTTCTGACTTCCGAGGCATTGCATGACATGAGTGCACTTACATACATGCATGCCATACACTCATACACATACAATAAAATAAATAAAATAGCCGGGCGTGGTGGCGCACACCTTTAATCCCAGCACTCGGGAGGCAGAGGCAGGCAGATCTTTGTGAGTTCAAGGCCAGCCTGGTCTACATAGTGAGTTCTAGGACAGCTGGGCTACAAGGAGACCCTGTGTCAAAAACGAATAAATACATAAATAAATAATAAATAAATAAATAAATAAAATAAAAAAGAATGGAGAGCGCACCTTGGCTCTGCCAGCCCTTACTTCTCCGCTGCCTTGGGCTGGGCAGACATGGTTGGACTGGGAGAGACTTGGCTGCTTTATAGATGCATTATTGAAGTCCCAGACCCTGGACAAAGGGAATGAAGGCTGTACCAGGCCAGAGGGACCCCAGGTTTGTGTACAGTAGATCCATGTGCTGCTTGGAACCTACCTGCTCAGCCAGGGGTCCTGGGCCCTATTCCCCAGTGGTCAGAGACTGCAAAGAAACTGCATAGGGCTGTGTCCTCCCTCCCTCAGAGTTCCTACTGACCCCATAGCCTTAAACACCATCTGAAAGCTGGGGACTCTCAGGCCAGCACTTGGGCCCTGCAGCCACCAGCTCCAGCAGGTGCTGTGCCAGTGTTTGTACTCCAGGCTCTTGGTCCACTTGCAACACCCACCCCACCATCCTATCCAGTCACTCTCCATGGGACCCCAAGTACTCTGGGTCCATGCACTTCCTCCAGTGTCCCTTTGTTCCTTGTGGTACACTGCCTGGAGCACACCTTCCTGCTATTGCTACATGCAGAACTCCTACTTGTCCCTCAACACCCAGCTCCAGGGCTGCCTTCCAGGGAGCACCCTTTCCAACTCAGCCAGAAGATGCTCCTTTCCCCTTGGCCTCCTGGTGGGTGCAGCGGGTATATGGGTACCCCTATATGCTATCCTCTGGACCAGAGAGACAGAGATGAGAGAGAGAGAGAGAGAGAGAGAGAGAGAGGAGAGCAAGAGACAGAGACAGAGACAGACTGTTATCCTGAGCTAACCCTCTCAGACCACATCTGGAGCTTTGTTCTTCTCTACTTGGGTCCCCAATCCTCTCTGTTTCTGGCCCCATTTCTCTGTCTTTGGCCCCCTGTTTCTCTCTGCCTGACCCTGTTTCTCTGTCTGCAGTGGTGTTCCTGTTGTGTTGCTGGGCAGGTGTGATGGTTCTTCTCACTGTCAGTGTGATGGGGTTTAGAATCAGCCTTAAAACACACCTCTGGCTGGGCATGGTGGTGCCACACCTTTGATCCCAGCACTCAGGAGACAGAGGCAGAGGCCGGTGGATCTCTGTGAGTTCAAGGCCAGCCTGGTCTACATAGTGAGTTCCAGGACAGCTGGGGCTGCAGGGAGACCCTGTCTCAAAAAGACCAAAAAATATATTAAAAACTACATGCACGCACGCACGCACACATGCATGCATGTGTGCACACCCACCTTTGGGTATGTCTTCCAGAAATCATAGATGGAACAAAGAAGCCCCATCCTGATTTATTTATTTTTATTTTATGTGTGTGAATGTCATGCCTGCATGTGCGTAAGTCCACCCGTGTTGTGCCTTGCCCTTGGAGGACAGAAGAGGACGCCGGATCCCCTGAAACTGGAGTAACAGACAGGTGTCAGCTGCTATGTGGGTCCTGGGAATTGAACCCAGGTCCTCTGTAGAGCAGTCAGTGCTTTTAACTGCTGAGGCATGTCTCCAGTCCTGAGAAGACCCATTCTGAATGTGGGTGGCAGTATCCCATGGGCTGGGGGTTCTGGAAAGAATAAAAAGGAGAAAACAGGGCTGGAGAGATGGCTCAGCGGTTAAGAGCACTGGTTGTTCTTGCAGAGGACCCGGGTTCGAATCCCAGCACCCACATGGCAGCTAACAACTGTTTGTAACTCCAGTCCCAGGGGATCTGACAGCCTCTTCTGACCTCCGTGGGCATTCACAACACAGGTGCACTGACCTACATGCAGGCAATACATGCACACACATAAAATAAAAAAAAATTTAAAAACAAAAAGGAGAAAAAAAACCAAGCACCAGCATCCATCTCTGCTTCCTGTGTGAGTGGAACATTAGCTTTCGTCTCTGCTTCGTGATTGTACAAGCAGTGTGACCAACGGCCTTGCCCTCCTGCCACTGTGACTTCCTTACCATGATGGACTGGATCCTCAAACTGGAAAGAAACCCTCCTTATGTTGCTCTTGTCACGTGTTTTGTCACATCAAGAACAGTAACGAACAGCAGGTGGGCACCATGGAGGCCAGCCAGGCTGCCTGGGGGAGGTGGGCCCAGTGGTCCTAGTACACACAGGAAAGGGAGAGAGAGGCCCTCTGGAAGGAGCAGTCCCTCGGGGGCTCCGAGTGACGCTGTCTGGATGCTGTGGGTTGGGGTGGAGGGTAAAGAGTGCCCCCAGAAGACACTTGGGGAGACCCCTTCCTGCTTCCCAGCCTTGTTCTCACCCACTGCGTCATACCCAGACGTAGACCAAGCCCTTCTTTGGAGAGGTCGCTAAGGCTCAGGACCAGGGGCCAATCTCTAGGTCAGTGAGGGTCGCGGGTAGCAGGTTCTTCCCCAGGCCCAGGTTCCTTTTCTTCCACATGAATGGGGAGAGAGCACTGGGTTCTGTGGGCAGAGGTCCTGTTGGTAGGATCCTCCTCAGGCTGGGGGACAGTCACTCCAGGAAGAGTTCTCTTCACTGGCAGACTTAGGACACTACCAACTCCCCTTTCACACCACAGTTCCTCAGCTGTGGTCTCCACATTACACAGTCCAGACAGTCCCAGAATCGGCTCCACCCTACATCTCCCTCAGTGCCTCAAGCACAGGAGGGAGGAAAGATGCCAGGGTAGTGGGGCCAGAAACGTGGGCAGGGGCAGCCTCCAGGCCTGGGTCCTCACCCACCAGGCTGAGCTCCAACCCTCCTCAGATCTCTTTTCAGGTGAGTGCATCACCAGCATGCCCTAGGCCCCGTGTGCCCCAAGCCCTGGTGAGAGTTTCCGCCTTTCTGGACCCCCAATGGTGACCCCTTTTCTCCTCCCTCTGTCTACTCTAAGGCCGTGTGAGTCCAGTAAGGCCTGTGCTCACTGGTTAAGAGGTACACTTGTGAAGGGGAAGGGACGTGGGCAGCCCAGCTTGTCCCTGGGCAGGTGGTCTAGGGTTGGGGCTCCTCATCTTTCTCAAGACCAAATGAAAGTCAGGTGTGGTGGCACAGGCCTTTAATCCCAGCACTGGGGAGGCAGAGACAGGCAGATCTTTCTGAGATTGAGGCCAGCCTGGTCTACATAGTGAGTTGTAGGTCAGCTGGGGCTACAGGGAGACCCTGTCTCAAAAAGACAAAAATGGCGGGGGGGGGGGGTTAGACAGATGGCTCAGTGGTTAAGAGCACAGAGGACCTGGGCTCAGTTCCCAGCACCCACATGGCAGCTAACCGTTGTCTGAAACTCCAGTTCCAGGGGTTCCAACATCCTCTTCTGGCCTCCACAGGCACTGCACAACATAAGTGTACTTACATGCAGGCAAAACACTCACAAACATAAAGTAAAAATTTTTATAAAGACAGAGGCTGAATGAGACTTTCAACTAAGCAACACCACCTGTGTTAGCGTGATACAGTAATATTATGCCAAAGGGGTTTACAGAAAATGACACAAACAAGCACATACCAGTACTGGCTGAGGGCTGGAAGTTGTCAACCAATCCTATCACAAGGCCAGCTGACAGTGGTCCCTCAGAGGCCCAGGACTCTGGCTTCCCAGACACTGCTACCCCTGAGTTCCGTCACAG